ATAATATATATATATCTATCATAGTATCATCTAATATATGTAATATTTTCTCGCTCGCTCTATATATATATATTTATTTTATGTATTATATAGTATAATATTTTAACGCTTAGTTTTTATATATATTTTAATATATATAATCAATATTTATATATATATATAATATTTATGCATATTTAATATATTATATTATATATATATATATATAATAGCGTTTATGTATGATATATAGTGTATATTATAATACTTTTTTATATTTATATATATATATAATATATTATATATACTTATATATGTATATATATTATATTTCTATATATATATATATATAATTTATATAATATTTATATATAAATAGTATATATATATATATATAATAATATCTTTATATTTATAATTTTATATATATATATATATATATTTATATATATATACAGTATATATTATATATATATAATATTAATATATTATTTATATATATTAATATATATATTAATTATATATATATATTATATATATATATATACATATCTATATTATATATAATTATGTATTATATGTATATATTATATATTATAAATATATAGTATATATATATGTTTATATATATCGTATGTATATATATATATATATATATATGTATATATATATTTATATATATTTATATATGTTGTGCTGAATAGAGTAAAAAACTGGATCAATTAGCAAGAAATATTTAAAATTAAGTCCTTGTTAAAAAAGATTTCTTAAACATTTGTAAACTACATAAGATTTTTTCATTGAATGTCTTATATTTATATATTATCTTATTACTTTAATTTGACGAATAGTGTTATATATATATATATATATATATATTAATATTGTATGTTATGTACATGAGATTATTTGTATTATATATATATATCTATATTTAGGTTGTTGATATAAATACATACATATGTTCATGTGATTAGGTAAAACTGGATCATATTAGCAAGAACTCATTTAAATTAATCACTTTCTAAAAATTTCTTTATAGACATTTAAGAGATTATATTTTCATTTATAGTTAATGTAAAAAATTAATAATTTTGTTACAAAAAAGAACTGTAGGGAAACATTATGAGAAATCTTATATTATAGCAGAAGCACAACTTGGTTATTTTGCCTAATCCAATAAATATATTTTAAAAAAGTTTAGACAATAATTTAACCCCTTAACTGTCCAAACGTCGATATACGTTCTTACCACTAGCACTCTGAGATAGAGCAACATTTTTATTTTTTCCTGCCTTTTCAAATTTGGCATGACAGGGGCTGAGCAGCCTGAAAATGATGAGAATGGGGTTGTTGTTGAACTCATTGGGGCCATTATGAAAAAAAATCGAGACCCGCAGGCACCTATCCGCATGGTAGCAACAGTTGTTTCCGCTCCTTCTAGGGTCAAGCATCTCTTGGTTAAACCTCGTGATTCACTCACGGCTCATTGTATTAACCACTACTCTGTGTTTCAAGGGGAAAGTGATAGAGACAGTGAGTTTAGTGGATTTGAGATGATCTGTGGCCACTAATGATCAAGGTATTGGTGAAAATGTATTGATGATAACCAGATTGACCCTTAACGCCTTTCACCCTCTGGGGGTGGCCAGTTGGGGCCATCTCCATTGCTCTGACCCTCAGACCAAGCACACTCTCGTGTCGGCACACCCAAACCTCAGCTCAAGCACCGTCTGGGAATGGTCAGTGTGGCCATCCAGGACCCTCAATCAGCACCTCTGGGGTTGGCCTAGTATTACACTCAAGAGGCTACTACGCAAGAGGAAATTATCTAATTCTGTCTGTTTTCAGTGAAGGGAATACAGTGAAAGCGATATATAAACCATTTATAAGTGATGATTGAGTATTGCGATTTTTTGATGCATAGATGATTTGTCAAGTGTAGTGGTTATAAATTGTTCTCAGGAAGCATACTTTTTACGGTGGCATCGCCTACGTTCAGGCAGTGTGCCATAGCCAGTGTCCTGAAGGGGAATCGGGAGGCGTCATGATCTAAAACCCCGGCACTGATAGTGATAGTGATCATGAAGGAGAATAGTGGTGGCGAGAATTGAGGAGGTGATGGTGGGGTGGCATGGTTGCCTGGGTGCTGGTGCGTGGGGGGGCAAACAAAGGACAGCCCAGCACCCCCTCAAACCATGTGCTGTCTCCCACTCTCGTCCCTCCTTCCTGCTCCCCATGCCTCAGGTCCACCTGCACCATGTGAAATGAATGGACCCGGAACTGGGCACAAAGTACAACATTCGTGCCACATCTTTTCAATTTTGATGGCAGTGGAAGTGGCATCCTCCCACAATGTCCCATCATGAATGAGTCTACAGAGGTTAGACTATTTCAATTATACTTGATGAGCCTATAATGAACTGTTTGTCACCAACAAACATTTACTACTGCTATATAATGGGGACAAGAGAGGTTGCAGAATTGTCATGACTGCACAGATGGAAAGCTACAACTTTGGCCAAAATGTATTTATTCCTTGGCACTGTCATGTTTATGCCTCATACGTATAAGCACAATATAGTACAGTACTGGTCCACAGATTACTTTATCAGCATTACTGTCTTCTGTGACTGCCTTCCCTACAAGAGTCACTCTGTTGCTACAAATGTTGTATTTCTCAGACAGGAATAGGCCCAACAAAAATGACCTATACAAAATCCAGGAAGTGTTTATGAATCTGAAAGCAGAATTAACGTTGATTGATGAGTCCTTGATTCGTGTTCAAGGGGATGACGTCATTCAAACATTATATACCAGACAAACGTATGATCGGCTTTGGTTATAAAAACTCGTTGTTTATGTGTGACAGTGAGAGTGGCTAGTGTTGGATTGCCATTGTCTACCATGGGAGGAAACATTAACTCGATTTGCCAGGGAGATGTGGCATTTACGGTGATGTTGTTCGAAAGATGATGAGCCATACCTTGCAAGGGTCATAGTTTCACCAGACAAACTGGTTATATGAGCCTGAGCTCGCGCTGGTTTTGCGTGTCAGTCTTGTGTGAACAATACTGGAATATGTGGAACAGTGAGAAAGAAATAGAAAACATATGTAAGGCTCAGTGGAGGCAGTGGTGAAGGTGCAATGCAAGCACTTCATGCCAATGACATCATGGCACTGACGTGGCATGATAACGGGACATGACATTGCTGTCAACCATCCACAGAAACGAGATGATACAAAGTGAACAGGGACACCAATGAACGCACTGTAAAGCCAGCTGCTGTCATTGACTATATGAACAATATACGACTAGTCAACAAGTGTGACATGATGATAGAGTTCGTTGACTGTGTGAGTAAGAGTCGCAAGTAGTACATGAAAGTGTTTTTCCACCTTGTAGACATTGCAATGCTCAATGCCTTCAATATGTATGAAATAATGACTGGAAAAGGACTTTGTTATGTAGAATTCACCCTGAATGTCATCAAGCAGATAATAAAAAAGTATGATATCACACCTGTACCTGCCCCTGCCCCTCAACAGTGACCTGTCCCCCAACCACAACCAGTTGGTGAAGTGCCAGACCGAATCCTCGCTGTCACTACCTGATACCAGTACCGTCTATCCCAAAAAAAAAGTATTCACAGAAAAAATGTGTTGTGTGTGCTAACACCACAAGGCAACCCTAACAGCGGAAGGACACACAATTCATGTGTCACCAATGTGGAGTGGCACTCTGTATGAATCCATGTTTCATGGTGTATCATATAATCCTGGAGTACTAGAAACATAACTGGGACATGTAAATACAGTGGACCCCCGCATAACGATCACCTCCGAATGGGACCAATTATGTAAGTGTATTTATGTAAGTGCGTTTGTACGTGTATGTTTGGGGGTCTGAAATGGACTAATCTACTCCACAATATTTCTTATGGGAACAAATTCGGTCAGTACTGGCACCTGAACATACTTCTGGAGTGAAAAAATATCATTAACCGGGGGTCCACTGTACTTGTAGATAATAGAAAGTTATTCAGCAAGGTGTACAATATGACTATATGTGTGTATGTGTGTGTTTGTGACAATATGATTAATAATTTTGTACGTAATATTAGTGTCTAAACAACAGTTGGCTATCAAATCAAAAGATCTACTATAAAATATAATTATATCATAAAAACTGAGAAAATTAAAAAAAAAAAAAAAAAAAAAATTGAAACATGTCTGCAAGCAGCAGCGCTTTATGTTGCCATCAGGTGATTGGCAAGCACCAACTTTGCGGCCTTATATCTCAGTAAGTACTAACTCGAAAATTTCTTTTTCGACATTACTTCATGTAAAAAAATGTCCTCCTTATTTAAAAGAGAAAACTATTTTTTTTTTTCAAAATATTCGAGCACTGGGCGAGAAAATATAGATCTACGTTTGGACAGTTAAGGGGTTAATAAACGAACACAATGAAATATATTTTTTTGGGTTAGGTTCAACTGCCTCCCAGCACACATAAGGGGGATTACCAACAGACCCCTGGCAGTCTTCAAGCTGGCACTGGACAAGCACCTAAAGTCAGTTCCTGATCAGCCGGGCTGTGGCTCGTACGTTGGTTTGCGTGCAGCCAGCAGCAACAGCCTGGTTGATCAGGCTCTGATCCACCAGGAGGCCTGGTCACAGACTGGGCCGCGGGGGCGTTGACCCCCGGAACTCTCTCCAGGTAAACTCCAGGTCAGAATGATTTTTGCGAAATTATTGCATACACAAATTTTCGCTTGCCTTATTCAGCAAGAAAAGCATTGCTATTTCAACCAAAATTGCAAGTGTGACCTATTCAGCATGACATACATATATACATACAATATTAAAATAAAAGGGCAAGATATCATTTGTGTATACACAACGTATTCTTGTAAGTCATTGGGTGTGTCCATATGAAGGAGTCAGCAAACTGTAATTGGCTGTTTAGGCCTAAGAGAGAGATATGAGTCATGACAAATGATCTGAACAAGTCAATTACCAGTCTCTTGAAACTATACAAGGTTGGGTCGGCTCACACTGGTCATCATAACTTTTGTAACGAAGTTGCAGATTGCTGTTGCAGGCTGTTCAGGTTCTAGTTCGGCTAAAATGTGGCACTGATTCTCTGTTCTACTTGCTCCCTTTTTGGCCACAAATCCAAAAACTCGACTGAAAATAGAGAGATATACAGGCAGGTCCACTTTACAGCATTTCACTAGTACAGTGGTTTTCAATTATACCCTTTCTTCATTTATTCAGACTTCCTACTATATTTATTTATTTATTTATTTATGTCTTTGCAAATAGTACATTGAGATTATGTATTTACAATAATGGGTTGCAATACAAAGAGAGCCTCTATTATGCCTAGGCATTATGAGCCGACTTAACATTATTGGCTTACTGACTACTTAACACTAAGAATTATATCATAGTTGTACAGTAGATTATTAATTATAAGTGAATCTAATTTATATAAGGCAAAAGATATATTCATATATATTCACCACTCACCATATGCTAAGGATAAAAATATTTTAAGGTAAGTAAGTAATATGTGTGCACTATATATGCATTTTTTAGGCCTAGCTATATTGCTTACTTAATATATGATAGTGTAAACATGTTATTGGGCTTTTATCTGCATTTGAAAGTGAAAAGGCTATGATTCACTTTACAGCAGTAGCCCAGAACCTAACCTGCTGACTCACGAAATTGTAATGACACAATAGAACAAACCACGGTACAGGTGAGGACTGAACTCATGGCAGGTGAGTCATAAAACTCTAGACCAGTGTGTAAGCCACAGGGCCAGCTACTAAGATTCATCCAACTAGGTATATAGATATAAATATACCTAGTTGGATGAATCATACTGTAGCCAGCTGGCCCAGTGGCTTACGTGCTGGTCTGGTTTTTTTTCCACAAGTTCAATCCCCACCTGTACCATGGTTAACCTGCTGTATAAGCAAGGCCATCATATTTAGTAGGTTGGTAGAAAGCAACCACCCGGGGAGGTACTACTGTCCTGCCAAATGAGTGTTTTCAGAACCCTGTATTTGTTGTACATGATGGTAGGAGTGTTGGTGCCATTTTTTTGTCTCAGACAAGATAACAGGTATATCTTGCTGCTTTTACTTACAATTAGGTTACAAGACATATGCATGTACACTTTTGGGTTTTAAAACCCCTTTATTTGGTTTTCTTTGTTTTTTTCTTAATAGTTATCGTTCTTATTATTTTCCTTTTATATCCATGGTGAAGTGGAATAAGTATCTTTCCTCCATAAGCCATGAGTGTTGTAAAAGTCAACTAGAAAGCTGGAGCAATGGGTTAGTAACCCCATTTCCCATACAGCTTACTAAAAATAAAAATAAAACCTTTAAGTTGGGATGTTTGAATGTGCATAGAGTAGTCAAAAAATAAGAAGTTATGAAGGGAAAAAGGGGATTTTCCTGGTCTAAGTGAAACAAAGCTAAAGGGGAGTAGGAGTTTCAGTGGGGAGAAAAAAGGGGTTATTTTAAGGGGGTTTTAAATAGAGCTAAAAATAAGGAGAGGTAGCAAAAATGTTAAAAGATAGTTATGCAGGAAAAATGGAATATAAATGTAAAATTAAAGGATAATAGAGTAAAAATAAGGGATGAAAAAAAAAAGGGGGTTTTAGTAAGTTTTTTATTTCTGGAAAAAGAAGAGGAAAAGAGGAGAGAGAGAGGAGAGGAGAGAGAGAGAAGAGGAGGAAAAAGAGAGAGAGAGAAGAAGAGGAGAAAGAGGAGGAAAGAAGAGGAGAGAGGAGAGGAGGAGAGAGAGGGAGAGAAAGAGAGAGAGGGAGAGAGAGAGAGAGAGAGAGAGGAGAGAGAGAAGAAGAAAGAGAGAGAATGAGAGAGGAAGGAGAGGAAGAGGAGAGAGAAGAGGGGGAGAGGGGAAAAAGAGAGGAGAGAAAGAGAGGAGAAAGGGGGGAGAAGGAAGAGAGAGAAAGAGAAGAGGAGAAAGAGAGGAGAGAAAAAGAGAGAGAGAGAAGAAAGAGAAAAGAAGAGAGAGAGAAAAAAGGAGAGAGAGAAGAGGAGAGGAAGAGAGAGAAAGAGGAAGAGAGAGAGAGAAAGAGAAAGAGAGAAAGGGAGAGAGAAGAAGGAGAGAAGAAAAAGGGAAAAAGAGAGAGAGGAAGAGAGAGAGAGAGAAAAGAAAAAGAAAAGAGAAAAAGAAAAGGGGGACCCTAACCTTGTCAAACCCTGTGTAAAAAAAAAAAAGAACAAAGAGAAAGAGAGAGAGAAGAGAGGAGAAAAAGAGAAGAAGGCCCTGTTGGTAATGCTGGTGCAGTGAAAAGATGAATGGGAGGGTTTTTGGCCCCTGGAGAAAAAGTTGTTACCCTTGGGGTGAAATTTGCCTCCAAACTAACCATGAAGAACCATGTTGTAAATCTTTCAAACAAGGCCCCAGGAAGCTTACAGCACTTCCCCATATCTTGAAATTGTTGACAGTGGGGGTTTGGGAAAAGACCCTGTATGAGGCAAAAGTACGCTCACACCTTGGGTTGCCCCAAACTTTCTTGGTTTGCCGGGGCCCCCCCCCCCACCATTTTGCATGTTAAAAACAGGGGGTTTAGGGAACCAGGGAAAGAGTCCTTTCCCCGGACCCTTCCTGGAAAGGGTTTGGGGGTCCTTTTTTTTTCAGGAAAAAGCCATCAACTGGAAATTGGGGGGCCTTAAAAAATTTTTATGAAAAAGAGGGCCAAAAAAAAAACCCAAACCTGGTTCCCTTTCCCCGAAACACCCGGAAAAAAAAGGGCTTTTAAATTCCACAAGAGGGGCAAAAAAAGGAATTATCTGGCGGGCCCCTTCTCCAAACCACCCTTTTCCTTTTTGAGTTCATAAAAATAAAAGGAATGACTGTGAGGTAACACTTTTTTCAGAAATAATTAGGCCCAACCTGAAAAAAAAGCGGTAAAAATAAAAGCTAAGGGCCCCCCTTACCTTTTTAAAAAAACCCCTTGTTTTTAAAAAAAAGGAAAGAAGGCTTTAAATTCAGAGTAAAACACCTCTTTTATTTTTCCCAAAATTAAACCCTTAAAACCGAATTTCTTCAATAAATTTTTCCCCCTTTTAAAACCTTTCAAACCCTGGATAAAAAAAGAGGAGGGAAAAGGGGAGAAAAAAAAGGAGAGAAAGGGGAGAGAAGAGGGGAGAAAGGGAAAAAGAAAAGGGAGAGAAGAGAGGGGAAAGAGATAGAGAGAAGGGAGGGGAGGGGAGGAGAGGGGGAAAAGGAGAGAAGAGAAAAAGGGGAGAGAGAGAGGGAGAAAAGGAAGAAAAAGAGAGAAAGAAGAGGGGGGGGGAAAGAGAAGAAAGGGGAAGAAAGAAGAAAAGAAGAAAAGGGGAGAGGGAAGAAGAGGGGGAGTAAAAGAAAAAGAGAGAGAAGAAAAGAGCGGAGAGAAAAGAGAAGAGGGAAGGAGAAAAGAGAGAGAGAGAAAAGAGAGAAGAAAAAGAGAGAGGGGAAGGGGGAGGGGGGAGAGAGAAGGAAGAGGAGGGAAGGGAGGGAGGGGAATAGAGAGAGAGGGGAAAAAGGAAGAGAGAAGAGAAAAGGAGAGGGGGAATGAGAGAGAAGGAAAGAGAGGAGAGAAGAGAGAGAGAGAAAAAGGGGAGAGAAGAGAGAAGAGAGGGGGAGGAAAAGGAGAGGAGAAAAGAGAAAAGAGGGAGAAGAGAGAGGGGAGAGAGAAGAGAGGGGGAGGGGAAGAAGAGAGAGAGAGGAAAAGGGGAGAGAGAGGAGAGAAGAGAAAAAGAGAGAGAAAAAGAAGAGAGAGAAAGAGAAAAGAGAAGAAAAGAGAGAAAGAGAGAGAAGAGGAGAAAAAGAGAGAGAAAAGAGAAAAGAAGAGGGGGAAAAGAGAGAAAAAGGGGAAGAGAAGGGGAGGGGAAGGGGGAGAAGAAAGGAAAAAGAGAGAAGAGAGAGGGGAAGAAAAAGAGAGGAGGAAAGGGGAGAGAGGGGAGGGGGAGAAGGAAAAGAGAGAAGGAGGGGGAGAAAAAGGAAAGAGATGAAGGAAAAGAGAAGAAAAAGAGAGGGGATGAACCCAAAAAGTCAGCTGGTGGTGGGCACTGGACTTTGCTGGGCTTTCGCCCGGGGGTGGGCACCAGGGCCTGTAGCAAATTTTAAAGCACTGGGAATTGCAGGCCCCTATGCTATGTCTCCCCCGGATTCCCTTTCTTTGGTAAAATCTCTAAGTGTAGTTCTCAAGGGAAAACGGAATCGCAAGACATCCTATTGGGGGCAAGTGTTCCACAAGGAAGCGGGGGGTTTCCATTGTTATGGAAGTCTATTTCCAACAACCTTCTTCATCTCACCCCAAAAATCACATGCTTTAAGCAACGCCCTGCAAACGGGACATTCACTTACCCCAAGAGAAGAAATGCCAGCGCTCTAAAGCTACATCAATCACCGGGAGAGTTATATCAGCTTGGGGAAATAGTTGGCAGTAACATTTCCCACTGAGAAAACGCAAATAAAGATCGTCTCTGGGCCCCAGGATGGTAATGTTTGGTTGCAGTAGAAAGGATGTTTGGGGAAAGGGTTCCCCACCTGGGGGGAAGAAGTTGATATCCTTGGGGTGAAATTTGACCCCAAACAACCATGAAGAACCATGTTGTAAATCTTGCAAACAAGGCAGCCAGGAAGTTTTAACAGCACCGCCATATCTCTCACTGCTTGACAGAAAGGGGTTTTGCAAGATCCTGTACAGGCACAATTTACGCCGCACCTTGAGTATGCTCCACTTTCGGGTTTTCCCCCCCCCCCCTTCATCTGCGACTGCTTGACAGAGTGGGAGAACAGACAAAACGTTCATCCTCGCCGGGAAACCCTCCTGGATAATCTGTCATTTCAGCAGGGGGCCTTCAACATAGGAGAGATGGGGGGTGGCCTTACTGTTATGTACAAGGCCAATTTTGTAAAAAATACCACACTTGGATCCATTTCGGGGGCCCGCGTGAAACAAGTTTTAAAGCCACAAGACCCCCCAAACAGAAAATTCACTCTGGTGTACCCTTCCAAAAACCCCTTTCCATCTGAAAATCAAACATCCCCAGGAGCTCGAGTATGGAAACATTCGTTCAGGTTTAATAAATGCAAGAGATAAAGGGCCTTTTGGATAAAATTTGAAAATGCGGGCCCACAGAGGGCTCCAACTTCATCCTTTTCCAAATTGTATTTCTTTTAACAAAAAAAATTGCTTTCAAATGAGCTGATGTGGGTTTAAAGGGTCTTTTTGCCAAAAAAAGTTTAGGAACCCTTTAACCTTTTAAAAAGCTTGTCAAAAAAAGCTAGGGATTTTTAACCCCAAACCATAATTACCAACAAAAAAATCCCTTTTGAAAAGTCGGTTTTTTTTTTTAAAAAAAAAAACCCACGGTGGATTTTTTTTTCCCCAAGCACTGCGCCCATGCAGGATTTTTTTTTACACACAACTGCCCCCTCAGACCCATTCTCTCATATGTTGGCCTCCACTTTCTTTTGCCCAAAATTGGAAAACTACTTGAACTTTGGCTAATAATTTTGGCACCAACACTGGCTTGCAAGCTGTAATATTACCCGCACCCACCTGAAAAGGGGTTTTCACAAGCACAGGGTCTGAAATCCCATGGTACAACTCTCAGCGGTCCAATTTTTTTCCCCCGAAATTGCACCGTAAAAAAAATAGTTGAATTTTTTGGGGAAAGTTAGTCGAAAATAAGCTGCAAATTTTTAAAAGTGTAAAGGAAAAAAAAAGTGGGGAAAAAGGGAAACCCGTAAAAAAAAGGGTAGTCTATTGTATAATATAAGTTCGTAAATACATGCATAGTGTGACCTAATGTAAGAAAAGCAGCAAAAACATACCTGAAATCTTGCACGTTTATGAAAAAAAAAAAAATTTAGCAAAATTTTTCATCATGTAGATAAATGGTTCAAGAACCACAAGTTGATAAAAATTAAAAATGTGCAAAACCCTTGGGGGAAACTTTTTTGGTTTTCTTTTTTCATTTTAAAAATACCCCCAAATGTTGCCATGTGGGCTAATTTTTTCAAATTTTACCATCATTTTAAAACAAAAACAGGTTTCCATTTTTTCCCCCACTTGGGGAGGGCGGGGGAATACCTCCCCGGGAGCTTTTCTGTCTACCAACCAAATTTTGGTAAAATAATTTAACATATGTGGAGGGAAAAAAAAAAATTACATATGGGGGGTTTCATGGATTTTTTAAATGCTGCAGCAAGGAGGGGGCTGGAAGCCCCTGGAGTTTTCTAAGGGCAATTTTGTTTGTTTTAATGTCAGCAAGAGAAATTTAGGGTGTGGAAATTAGGGGGTGTGGAGTTTTTTAAAAAAATTATTCACAGGACTGATGAAGGACTTTTTTTAGGTGGGTTTTTTCAGTTAGAGAGAATGGGAAAAAAGGATGACTTGGGGGTGTAAAATCTCAGTGGGGGGGGAGGGAGGTAGGGGTCATCCCAAGGGAAAGGGGGAGGGAGGGAGTAAAGAGGTTTTGGGGGGCAAAGGGCTTGGACAGCTTTAAACATTTTGGAGCATGTTTGGTAGGGGAAATGGAGAGCAAAAGGGCTTTTGGGACCCCAACAGTTATTGGGGGTGTAGAAGGGTAAATTTTTTGTAAAGGGTTCAGGGGAAAACGGTTAGCCGGATTAAGTTTCCCGGAGGGGAAATAGGGGGCAGGTGGAACCCCCGAATTTTTTGCAAAAAACCATATCGGATTTTTTTCAGATTTAGAACCCTTTTTTGAGGGAAATTTTACTCCGGGAAAATTTTTTTCCTTATCCGGGGAAACGTAGGGATTTAACCCCATCCGCCCGCTTGGGGGCGCTGCTTATTGGTTTTTTGTCCCTGGTTGAGGGGAGCATTCCAAAAAACATTTAAATTTTTTGTGCTTGTTTTTGATTGCAAAATGCGAAATAAGCCCCCTGGGCCCCAAAAAAAAATTCCTAGTGCCCGCCCTTTGGTAAAGAAACTGGAAAACACCCATAGGAAATTTAAGAAAGAATAAAAGCAAAAACGAAAGTAGAGGAGGAAGAGAGAGGGGGGAATTTCTTCTTTCCCGTGATTCTACGTATGTACAATTTTTAAAGCAGCACGAGTTGGGTAAAGGCTATAGCCCAGCCAGCGATACATTTTTTAGATTAAAAAATGCAGCAAGTTTAAGGGAAGCGATTAAGCCCCACAGAAAAAAGAAAAAAAAACAAAACAACTCCTCCAAGGGTTTTTTGAGGTTTAAAAGGGCCACTGAAAACCCACCCCACCCGCCCATCACCACCACCCTAAACCTCTGCTAGCAACTCCTCCAAGGGAATAATTTTACTATGTATCATACCCAAAAAACCACTTTATTTCTTTACATTATTATGTTTTTATACAATACTTCTTATTTATAAATTATGTACATTGTCATATTGAAGTATTTTGTCCTGTCTCCAAACAATAAATTCTCCTCCCTCTTCGCCATTTTCCATACGCCAACTTCGTTTCTCGTATGTTTCGGATTTAGAATGACCTTCTGGAGTGGATTAAGTACAAATCCCGGGTTCTACTGTACAATGCCTGTACTTTGAGGGGTTTGGAATATTGGCTGTTTGGAGTGACATCTAAACTGTTGTATCCAAGTGCCTCTGCAAAGACAGTGATTATATGTGAATGATGGTGAAAGTGTTGAATGATGGTGAAAGTGTCATATCAGAGTGTCTTAAACTGTCCTATCTGAGCACCTCTACAAAGACAGTGATTATAAATAACAAAAGGCACAATACTGTGACTGGAACAATACACAAATAACCCGCACATAGAAGAGAGGAGCTTTGACAATGTTTCGGCCAGACTTGGACCATTTACAAAGTCACCCTAACAAAAAGGAGAGAAGGAGAGAGTATACATAGGCCAGCAGACAGGGACGGGACAAGAGGGTCATAGGAAAGGAAGAAGAGTAGTGGTAGAGGTAGTAGTAGTAGTAGTAGTGGAGTCAGTCAAAGACTAAGAAAGAGAAGCACTGCAAGGGACCTAGGGGCCCACAAAGGGTAGGAACTAGGAACAAGAACACAGAGGGGAGAAAAAATAAATAAAAATGGATCAAACACCCAAGGCAGAAGAAAAAAGAAAACCCAAAGGAGAAAGAGGAAAGAAGAAAAGGGCAGAGAGAGAGAAGGGGAAAAGGAATCAGGTTAAGTCATGGGTGTTCTGAAGTTTGGAGCATTTTACAATGTAACAGGAAAGGAAGGCATCCATAGAGACAAAGCCAGGACTAAGATCCATACAAGGAAAGTTGTGTATAAGGGAGGATTCAACCATACGGCAACTGTGAAAGTTAGAAGTAGGCTAGACCAGTTAATAGGATGACTGTGATCTCTGACATGACAAAAAAGAGCATTGTTGGTGTTGGCAAGCCTAACACTACTTTTGTGCTCCCTGAGTCTGTCAGAATGAGAATGGCCAGTTTCTCCAAAGAACTGAAGAGGGCAAGAGGAACAAGAAATAGAGTAGACACAAGGAACATCTGTAGAGGGAGGAGAGGTATGAACTAGATTGGTGCAAAGAGTGTTAGTCTGGCGAAAAGTAAGTTTGACGTCAAAGGAACGGAGAGAGTGGTTGAGATTAGAAAGACTGGAAATATAGGGAAGGCAGAGGACAGGAGAGTTCCTAGGAGTAGACAGTCTGGGAGAGAAAAAAGTCTGTTTAGCAGATGAGAGGGCAGAGTCTATGAAATGGGAAGGATAGCCAAGATGGGAAAATGAATTATGAAGAGTGGAAATTTCTGATTCAAGGAACTGAGGATCACAAATGTGGAGAGCACGAAGATAGAGGGAAATGTGAACACTTTTCTTGACAGTGGAAGCATGATAAGAAAAGTAGTGAATGTACATGCCACTGTGCATAGGCTTACGGTACACGGAAAAAACAAAACCTGTATCTGAGCAGTAGACATGAACATCAAGGAAAGGAAGCAAGGAATAAGATTCCTATTCAGCTTTAAACTTAATGGAAGGGGAAAGATTATTAAGGGCATCAAGAAATAGTTGGAAGAGATTAGAGTCATAAGGTCAAAGAGCAAAGATGTCATCTACATAGCGAAGCCAGAGTGAACAGCGCAGGAGATAGAGAGCCCTATATATACTCCTTCCTTCTCTCCTTTTTGTTAGTGTGACTTTGTAAATGGCCCAAGTCAGACCAAAATGTCATAAGCTCCTCTCTTCTGTGTGCGGGTTACTTGTGTACAGTGATTATGTGTGAATGATGGTGAGAGTGTTTCTTTTTGGGTCACCCTGCCTCGGTAGGAGATGGTTAACGTGTTAAAAAAAAAAGGAAAGAAAATTGCAAATTGTTATGTTAATGTTTTCTTAAGCAAAATATGGAGGTTTGCATTAATAAGATAAAGGATTAAGATAATTATAACTTACAGAGATCCAAGTGCAGCCCCTTCTTCACTCTTGTGTGTCCAGCGCCTATCATCAGGATCTAGGCCACAATGAGAGATAGTATTTACTGGGTAATGTCGACGGAAGAACAGTTTCCTCTCATTGTCTGTTAGAGTAATACCCTGTGCAGAAACCTTGAAGTGAACAACTGTTGGCATTATCTTTGAAGCCAACATAAGACTGACAGCACGTTTCACAGCCTGGGGACCAGTGAGGCTTTCAGTATCTGCTGAGTGTAAGTACATGACATTGCATGCTGCCCCTTGTTGCAGAAGTTGTGTAGTAGAACTGCTCCCACTACTTGTGCTAGCACCACTGTCTACAGTATCTGCTGCACCTGCTGGATCCTTCTCGGGAAGCATCAAGCGACATGGAAGAGCTAGAGCTGTTATGGAGTGTTGATATACTAGAGCAGACAAGGAACCTGCAAAATATTTAGCATATGTTTATAAACCAACTTGTATTCTTTTACCAAATCTGCTGTCTTCCACCAAAGAAGGGAAACCAAAATAAGGAAACACATTCACTGTCATCCATAGAAGTGTAGAGGCATCATAATTCAGATGACACTGATAAGCAACATTCATGAATTCCTTATGTTTCCTTGCTGACACTCCAACAGCATGTAAAACCCTGAAAACCACTTGTTTCTATTCCAATTTAGCATACACATGCTTGCTGGATACTCAAGTCTCTACCATTTTTAATCTTCACTCCCATCTTACCTGAGATAACCCCTATCCCCTCACCATGGATTCATACAGCCTTTTTATCATCTGAGCCTGTTCCATCCATTTTAAATAGCCAAAAAATCTCAACAATCTCTGCCCTCTAGATTATACCTTTCATGACCCCACACCACCTAATTTCTGCACTCCTATATCTCTGCATAATATTCATACCACACACTGATGTAAAAACATTATATCTCCACTGCCTCCAGCCTCTCCTTCACTGCACTACTTAAAGACAGTGCCTCATATCCATTAACCTTTTTGCCTCCACAGATACATTTTTTTTCACAGATGCCTCAGCACACCACCTACCTTCCCCCTTCCCCTTCATCAGTTTTACAGTTTACTTTATCTTTTGGGGACCCATCTGCTGACACATCCACTTCTAAATATCTAAATACATTCCCTTCTTTCATACTCCTTCGAATATGATATTCAATATTTCAGTGCCAAAACTTTTTGATATTCTCATCACCTTGATCTTGTCCATGAGTACAGTATACCAGTACATGTATATACATTCCTGGTAAAGAAAACTTAATATAAAGACATTAAAATACCCACCCCTATTCTTTTTCGTAGCTACCTTCAATTTCAAAGGGTGCCGTGATACTGGTGAAATGCTTTTGATCCAAAGAATTTGAGGCAACCTTGCCTTTTTTAGAGCAAACCTGATACTCTTCCATTCCACAAGCAATGTATGACATCTACATATTAATCATTTTCTCATATAATAGTAATGACAACAATATAATAATAATCTATTTGAATCTGTGCTTTACTAGTTATTGAAAGCCTTTAAATTATCACATTTTAGAACATACATAATACACAAGATCCGTCAACTGTACTGGGGTTTAGCAGGGTCAAAGTGGTCATGTATACAGGAGGGATTGGAGGACTGCTGTTAGGGAGGTGGAGACCAAATGGTGGAGGGGTGGGGGCAGGAGCTGGAGGCTGGTGTTGGGAGGTGGCAGATGCTGACTGATGGAGGGTTGTGGTGGGGCACAGGCTGGAAGTAAGAAGGCAGCGTAATGGTGACTGTGTGGGTGACAGTATCAGTGGCCCTGTGTGGATGATGGGTGGCTACATGACTAGGTGTGTGGATGAAGTATTAGGGTGTGTGGGGTATGTAGGGTGTGTGTAAATATTATGCAGAAAATTCGGAGTGTGGAAATTAGGAGAAGGTGTGGAGTTAATAAAAGCATTAGTCAGAGGGCAGAAGAGGGGTTGTTGAGGTGGTTTGGTCATTTAGAGAGAATGGATCAAAGTAGAATGACATGGAAAAGCATATAAATCTATAGGGGAAAGAAAGGGGGTAGGGGTCGTCTCGAAAAGGGTTGGAAAGAGGGGGTAAAGGAGGTTTTGTTGGCGAGGGGCTTGGACTTCCAGCAAGCGTGCATGAGCATGTTAGATAGGAGTTGAATGGAGACGAATGATACTTGGGCCCTGACGATCTTTTTTGGAGTGTGAGCGGGTAATATTTAGTGAAGGGATTCAGGGGAAACCGGGTTATTTTCATATAGTCGGACTTGAGTCTGGAAATGAGAAGTACAATGCCTGCACTTTAAAGGAGTGGTTTGGGATATTGGCAGTTTGGAGGGATATGTTGTGTATCTTTATATGTATATGCTTCTAAACTGTTGTATTCTGAGCACCTCTGCAAAAGCAGTGATAATGTGTGAGTGTGGTGAAAGTGTTGAATGATGATGAAAGTATTTTCTTTTTGGGGATTTTCTTTCTTTTTTGGGTCACCCTGCCTCGGTGGGAGACGACCGACTTGTTGAAAAAAAAAAAAAAAAATAAATAAATAATGTCAACCCATTTGTGACTGCGTATTAGAATGGCTAGTTGGACACTTATTGGACAATGACGTCATTTGTTTACTCTTGAACATCAGCGAAATTCGAAAATTTCCGCTACTTTGAGCTCAATTTCAAGTCCTTTTCATTGTGAAACCAATCAAAATCATCTCTATTTCTGTAATATGTCTTCCATTCTATCAAATGATACCAAGAAAACAAGAATACAGCCATAATTACTATATAAAAATACACCTCAAAGTCAGCGTTTTAATACAAAAACATGGTCGAAGTTAATTTTTTCTCATTATGCACTGCGTGCTGTAGGATTTTTTTTATACTGCGCACACTGACCACAGAGACCCATTCTCTCACATGTGGGCCTACCAGTTTTCTCCCACTTGATTTGAAGCCTCTAGAATTTTGGAGCATAAATACGTCAAAAACACTGGCTTGTAAGGTGTATATATATATGACTGAAACAGTCAAAGGGTATAATCCCTACCTCACCTATGATATTTGTGCCTGGGGATCAACCACAGCCAGCCATCTTAAACCTTGATAACCCAACAAAAAGCTGCTGTGCAGATGATTACCAGCTCCTGTGCTAGACAGCCCATCCCACCACTTTTCAAAAGCCTGAACTTGTTAAATATACAAGGCATACACTCATATTATTGTGCCTGCTACATATACAGAACATTAAACTCCAACATAAACTGTAATAGGCTATATAGAAATAAAGTATTTTTTTTTATGTTGCTGCAGCACTGTTTTGGGCATTAGTTTCACCTTGTTTAGAGGCTCTATGGTGTCGCCCCTTGATGGTGTCACCCGAAGCGGCCCGTTCCCCCCCCTTACAACACCACTGCATAAGGCACTCTTCGACATCCCTCGTGTCAGTCTCACACTATGCAAAAATGCAATGCACACAAAAGGCCTGAAGATCTGGAACTCGCTACCTGAATTGGTAAAGGATCCCCTGACTACATATAAATTTAGGACTTTGCTTAAAAATCATCTCATCTCTCAATACTAACCAAACCAACCAACACAACTTCTAATCAATTATGTGACCTCTAGTCAATTCACCATCTGTCAATCCATGAAATATTACTGCTTGAACCATTAATTGTAATACTGTTTATATTATGTGCAACTTCAAGATTATTATTCTTATAAACCTCCACCTTGACCATCTCGCATTAGTATTAAGATTAAATAAGATTTTAATAAAGTTACCCACTATTATCTTGTCTAGATTTAAGTATGTAGTTATTATGTATGCACTAGGATTAGTCTGCCTGAAATGCCCCACAATGATAGTGGCTTTCTTTGTACTTAGCAAACCAAAATTGTAATTACGCATTGTAACCTTCACAAAGAAATGAATCTTTTTATTCATTATACCATCAGCATTGGTGTACCGTACCTTCAGTTTCCTCTCCAACACTGTATTCTGGGGGTGGGTCCTGGCAGGGTGCTATGGATTCTACTGCATACTGTGGGGTGGGGTGGGGGGTTGTGAGTGTAGGGTGTGAGTTTGGCTGAAGGGTTTTGAGGGTGGTTCCGTGGGTGTTTGTGCACTCTGCTCCACTTGACTCTGGTTGTTCTCTATTGACTCTAGCGTTGTCTCTCTTGCCCCTTTTGTCTCTGTGTTCTCTCTCTCAGCTGTTGACATTCTGTCTTGGTCTAGGAATGCCCTCCTGTATGCTGTTGATTCCTTTAGCTGTGGTTTCAACTGCAGGATCCTGTCCCACACCATTTCTGTCATGAAAATCAGGTTGACTGGCCAATTTCTCTCCATCAAGTACCCCCATATTCTCTGAAGATTTATTAGCTCAGACATATCCTCCTCCTGTCCTATTTGTTTGATAAATTCAATCTCGTTTTATTTTTCCACCATCTTTCATCATAAGTTTTCCCTTTGTTCTCCTGAAGCCCATGGATAAAGACTGACCTCTCCTTCTCCTCATACCTTTGCTTTTCCTTCCATGTTTCTGGGTCCCGTTTATACAAAGCCATTGCCTCCTATATTAGTTCCTGTACCTCCTGGTGGCCTGGTCGTGCCTCTGCATGGGGCCTGTTTCCTCTGCCTGTGCCCCCCTTACATCTGTCTGTTACCCCCCACACATACTGCTGTCCCTGTGTGTGTGTGTGTGTGTGTGTGTGTGTTGTGTGTGTGTGTGTGTGTTGTGTGTGTGTGTGTGTGTGTGTGTGTGTGTGTGTGTGTGTGTGTGTGTGTGTGGCGCGCGCGTGTACGTGCGAGCAAGTGTGTGTGCGAGTGCACGAGCGAGTGTGCATGTGTGCGAGTGTGTGTGCAAGTGTGTGTGTGTGTACTCACCTATTTGTGGTTGCAGGGGTCGAGACGTAGCTCCTGGCGCCGCCTCTTCACTGATCGCTACTAGGTCCTCTCTCTCCCTGCTCCATGAGCTTTATCATACCTTGTCTAAAAGCTATGTATGGTTCCTGCCTCAACTACGTCACTTGTCAGACCATTCCATTTCCTGACAACTCTATGACTAAAAAAAATTCCTAACATCTCTTTGACTTATCTGAGTCTTAAACTTCCAATTGTGACCCCTTGTTTCTGTGTCCCATCTCTAGAACATTTTGTCCCTGTCCACCCTGTCAATTCCTCACAGTATTTTGTAAGTCATTATCATGTCTCCCCTAACTCTCCTGTCCTTCAGTGTTGTCAGGCCAATTTCCCTTAACCTTTCTTTGTAGGACATTCCCCTTAGCTCTGGGACTAGTCTTGTTACAAACCTTTGCACTTTCTCTAATTTCTTGACGTGCTTGACCAGGTGTGGATTCCAAACCGTTGCTGCATACTCCAATATGGGCCTGACGTATATGGTATACCGAGTCTTGAATGATTCCTTACT